CATCTCGTTCCTTCGCCCAATATTTCCCGAACGTTGGCACCGGTCGCATGAAGTGGAGAAGACGTGAGAGTCTTTGAATATCGTGGGCCAATAAAATCCACTTTGTAGTACCTTGAACGCCGTTTTTCGCCCTCCGAAATGGCCTCCACAGTTCGACGAGTGGCACGCGGTTAGAATGGCTCGTTGTTCCTTCTCGGGCACACACCGCCTAATGACCTCGTCCTTCCCAAGATGGAAAAGATAAGGATCTTCCCACATGAAGTACCTACACTTAGCAAGGAATCTCTTCCTTTCTTGGAAGGATAGGTCATCATTCAAAATACCACTAGCCAAATAATTAGCAATATCGGCATACCAAGGCACACAATCGACAACAAAAACATGCTCATAAGGAAATGAATCATTAAGGTCATGCATATCACAAGAATTCGAAGGTAATACAAGGCGTGATAAATGATCGGCAACAACATTCTCGCATCCTTTGCGATCTAAAATTTCCACATCAAACTCTTGCAATAGTAATACCCAACGAATCAACCTAGGTTTAGATTGAGCTTTAGCTAGCAAATGTCTCAAGGCCGCATGATCACTATAAACTACAACCTTATATCCCACAATATAAGCACGAAATTTCTCTAAAGCAAAGATAATTGCTAGGAATTCCTTCTCGGTCGTAGTATAGTTCACTTGAGCCTCGTTCAAAGTCATACTAGCATAACTAATCACATGATGTCTTTTCTCAACCTTTTGACCTAAGACAGCCCCTACCGCAAAATTCGAAGCATCACACATAATTTCGAAAGGTAAGGACCAATTCGGAGGCATCACAATAGGAGCCGTAACCAATCTACGCTTCAACTCATTAAAAGCATTCATGCATTCCTCATTAAAGTCAAAAGGCACATCTAATGCAAGCAAAGCACATAAAGGACGGGCAATTTTCGAAAAGTCTTTTATAAATCTCCGGTAAAAACCGGCATGCCCTAGAAAACTTCGAACACCCTTCACATTAAGAGGGGGAGGGAGTTGTTCAATCACATCAATTTTGGCCTTATCGACCTCGATTCCCTTAGAGGAAATGACATGACCTAGAACGATCCCACTAGGAACCATGAAATGCGATTTTTCCCAACTAAGAGTCAAATTACTCTCAATGCATCGTTTCAACACTCTACTAAGTTTATCAAGACAATCAACAAAAGAATCACCAAAGACGGAAAAGTCATCCATAAATATTTCAATAAATTCACCAATCATGTCCGAAAAGATAGAGAACATGCACCTTTGAAAAGTAGCGGGGGCATTGCAAAGCCCAAACGGCATTCTCCGAAAAGCAAAGGTGCCAAAGGGACATGTAAAGGTGGTCTTCGGTTGATCCTCCGGGGCAATCGGGATTTGGTAGTATCCCGACAATCCGTCAAGAAAACAATAGAAAGGGTGGCCGGCTAGTTTGTCGAGGAGTTGGTCGATAAACGGCAAAGGAAAGTGGTCCTTTCTCGTGGCGGCATTTAGCTTCCGGAAATCGATACACATCCGCCACCCCGTCGTAGTCCTCGTAGGTACAAGTTCGCCCTTGTTGTTTTCCACCACTGTGATTCCACTCTTCTTCGGGACAACGTGTACGGGACTCACCCACTCGCTAACCGCCACGGCATAGATAATACCCTCTTGCATCAATTTGAGAATCTCTCCTTTCACAACCTCCATCAACGTCGGGTTCAATCGCCTTTGTCCCTCTCGTGTAGGCTTCGTCTCATCTTCGAGAATGATTCGATGCATACATGTAGCCGGGCTTATCCCCTTGATATCGCTCAAACTCCACCCAAGAGCATCTTTGTTAGCCTTAAGGACCCCCACGAGTAGGTCCTCCTCCTCTTTCAAAAGACCCGAATAAATGATCGCGGGCTTCTTCTTTCCGTCTTCAAGGAAAACATACTTGAGGTGTGGTGGAAGCGGTTTGAGTTCACTTGAAATTTCTCGGGGCTCGGGTTCCTTGGATAGTTCGAAGAGATCCATCACTCCTTCTTCTTCAGGATCAAGCTCCTTGGGCACATCATCATTAGGAATGTCACACTCACATGAAACTTCGGCATGAAAAAGATTGTGGACCTCCTCCTCGATCACATCTACGTAAGAACAATTCTCGGTGGCCAACGGTATTGTCCTTGCTTCGTTCATAGTGAATGTAACCGTTTCACCGAGAGCCGATAAGGTGACACGACCATCTTTGACATTGATAAGGGTATTGGTAGTGGCCATAAAAGGTCGACCGAGTAGGATGGTGTGCTCGTTTCCGGTGTTCGGGACTTCTCCTACATCAAGCACCACGAAGTCCGCCGGGACTATCAAATTGCCTACCCGAATCAAAATGTCTTCGATAACACCCTTCGGATATCGTAGAGTGCGGTCCGCCAATTGCAAACACATCCTCGTTGGCTTAAGATCTCCGAGCTCCAATTGTTGGAAGATAGAATAAGGCATAAGATTTATACCGGCTCCCAAATCGAGCATGCCATTCGTCTCCTTGCCGTTTCCCAAGGTAATCTTGATCACAAAACCTCCCGGATCACACTCCTTCCGAGGAATCGTGGTAGAGGCCACCTCGGAAATCATCACCTTCTCGTTGTCCCCGAACTTCCTTTTCTTAGAGGCGAGGTCCTTGAAGAAATGAACATATGCCGGAACATTTCGAATCACATCCAAGAGAGGGAGATTGACATTCACCTTTGAGAGCATATCATAGAGATCCTTGAATTGTCGGTTCTTCTTCGTATCTTGGAGTCGACTTGGGTAGGGAACCGGTGGACGGTATGGTATAGTGGACTTGTGTAAGTTCTCAAGGTCTTCGGGTTTCGGTCTCTCCTTAGGTTTCTCGGTCATCACCTCTTTGTTCTTTCCGGAGTCCGCCACCACGTCCAACTCTTCATCATCCTCCTTGTCATCAACATCCTTAACCATCATATCATGAGGCATCTCAACTTGATTATCCACCTTTCGTCCACTTCGTAGGACCGTCACGGCTTGGGCTTGCTCGGGTTGACTTGGAAGTCGTTCCTTCTTGTTGTCTCTTTGAAGTTCTCCGATAGACGTCCAAAGTTGCCCCATTTGTGTCTCAAGGCACTTGAGAGAAGCTTGAATCGACGGTACGCCCTTAACCACATCATGCAAGGTGGACACGGTCGAAGCGAGGCTTTGGAGGTACTTCTCCATATTGTCGATTCGAGTGTCGGAAGAATTCTCTTTAGTTTCTTTCTCGGGCCCCGGTGGGGGCGGCATCGGTTGTCGTGGAACGAATCTCGCACGCCCTTGTTGGAATCCTTGGAACTCGGGCCTCGGTTGATACCCTTGGAATTCAGGTCTTGGTTGGAAAGGTCGATTTTGAGGAGGTGCATATGCTTGTGGCGGTGCCGGTTGTGGTGCATAGTTCGTCTTTGGGTCTCTCCAAGAGAAGTTCGGGTGATTTCTCCATCCCGGGTTGTAGGTGTTCGAATAGGGATCGTTTTGAGCTCGAGGGGCATACCCTTGAATAGCATTGGTATCATAAGGAATCCCTTCATGATTTGAATCATAGGCCGGTTCCATGTATCTCGGACATTCATGTCCTCCATGCCCCGTTTCTCCGCAAGAACCACACACTTCAACCATCATGACTTGACTTGACTTCGCGTCTCGTAGGCGAAGTTGCTTAAGCTCTTCTTCCAACCGGGCTAACTTAGCAAGTACGGCATCGTTGGAATGTCCGGACGATGATGTAGCCTCGTTCACGAGAGTCTTCTTGCGTACACTCTTCCTTTGCGAATTTTCGCTAAGCATCTCGTAGAGTGCGTAGATTTCCTCCTCCGTGTGACTCCCGATGTCTCCTCCGGCAGCATGGTCCACCATATATTGGAGTGTTTGGTGAAGAC